ATTTTTTTTCAAGACAAGAAGGAAAAAAAAATTCTTGCAAACTCATTTTTTTTCAAGAATATTAAGTATTGTTAAACTTTACTTTTTTTGCTACATTTATATATCTAATGCATGTATATAACTAATATGAAGATAAATATTCAAGAGACAATATATAATGTTGGTATTACTGTAACGATAAGGCTTATATCTATACATGTATAAGCATATGTCTCACAAGATAAGAATCCTCATTATGCTAATAAATTACCGATAGTTTTAGAGGGAAAAAAATGTGCTTTGCTAATTTCTCAAGAGATAACTATTTATAAATATGTGTTCTTGGACAAAATGTATAAACATATATAGAAGAAAAATATATATACTTAAAGTTAGAAATTCGTTTTTTCTCTAAATAAAACTTGTTCCTATAATTAAATAAAGTGAAACATCCCGTCTAGAATAATAACCGCAATTTTGAACTTGGAATAGTTTTTCAATTTTATTATTATTTACTTTTTTCTATTTTCTATTTAAACACTTATTTAAATCACTTCTTTTCATAAAAAGTTAAATAAGGTAAAGGACCTCAGTAGGACCAATTTTCAATTGTTTTTATTTTGTATTTTTCTGTAAATGATATGTGAATTTTCACACATGTTACATATTTTTGCAAATGTATCAAATAAATCCGGAGAGAAATATATATATATGTTTTTTTTGGGAATTATTTTTTTATGTGCTTTTGAGACACACATATATAGATATATAGAATAAAAAGAGAATATAATCGCAATCTTCATCTACGATGGCTAAGAAGGATCAACGTTGGCGGAAGTAACCATCCGTAAAAATCTTTGAAAAGATCGTGCGACCTTTCAAACTAATCCTGATTTGTCTCGAAAGAAGAATTACACAGAATCCTAATGTATGGGTCGCATACCTTCCGGAAGAACTGGACTAGAAAATATAATAACGCTACTATGGGAGAATAGGGAATTCTCTCTCTATATATGGAGAACCTTACACTTGTTTTAAGATAAATATATATATATACAAACTTTTAACAGTAAATGATAATTTCTAAATGTATTGAATACAGAAATATATTTTCAATTAAATTGAAAATTAATCCAAAAAATAAAATTAATTTAATTTCATTAGAAAATTAAAATCAATAAAGCTGCTACTATTTAAAAGTTGAAATAAAATTTTCTATTCTTCAGGATCCTGTAAGGCTCGATCCTGTACAGGTGGACCTGCTATAATTTTAACCAAAAATAATAAAATTTTATAAAATTATTTATAAACAATAATATATTATTTTTTATTTATAAATCCAGTAAACTAATCTAGATCACCTAGACAAAATGTGTACTAAATTTAAGATTAAAAGCAGACTAGTTTAATTATTCTACTATACTAAAAAAATTCCATATATTTAACCGACTTTCGTTCTCCTAAAATATTTATTTTTACTTTTCGGAAGCATATAAATACCAAAATTCAAGACGGTTAAAAATGAAAACATGTTAAATACATAGAAATGTAAATTTACTATTTGTCCCTGTGTACAAAAAAAAATCATCTTAAATTGTATATCCTATGGGAGTTAATGGCACTATATTATTGAATATTACAAATGTAAATAGTGACTTTTTTTCATCGATTCAATCTTTTCTTTCTTTTAGAAGCGAATGCGTGTCAAAGGATAGTGTATACGTAAAAGCAGGTATGTATATGTATATAAGATCGGAATGATTGTTAGTTAAATAAACAATGATCGCGAGATGTTCTTGACAACAGTGACGGCTTTGTAAGGAACATTCGAATTGGATAGGGCGCTGTCAAATGTTTGAGGTGCCTTACAATGTTCTTATACATATCAAAGCAATAGCGATCACACGAGAAGCCGATCCTCAAAGCTCAAAGATCAACGATCAATGTTCTCCAAAGAGACTATATGTATGCTTATAGTGTTTTTATTTTATATTTTTACAACACTTTAGTTTCATATATACATATATATTGCATCGCCACCCGTTCTGAAATTGAGTGCATACACATACGAGAAATATACATATGCATGTACATATCAATGTCAAGAAACGATTCAAGACAATATATAGTCAACAAATTCCAACCAATTTTGAAAGAGTCTTCATTTTTTATCTCTCTCTTTCTCTCTCTCTCGACAAGGGCAATTTCTCTCGATGAGTTGGATTTTCTATGCACATTACAAAACCTTAACTCTTTGTTCTTTTCCCTCTTTTGTTGCTTTTCTCTTGCCAAGATAGGTACTCGAAAAAGCCTCCCAAACATCCCACAAACACCTCTTGAAAATTCTCCTCTATCATTGTCCTAAGAATTTAATAATTCTATTTAAAAAGAAAAAAATTTTTTTTCCATCCTTTGTTTGAACTAAAGAAATGCATTATAAGCAAAAATAAACAAAAAGGGTTGTCGAAATAGAAAAATTTAATTAAATAAAAAAATGAATTTTTTCATTTTCCATACTTTTGAAAGATAAAAAAATAATTTTTTTTAATCTATAAAGGAAAAAAAAACCTTCAACCCATTCCACAATATATATATAATCCACAAGGAATAAAAAATTACGTCGACGTGTTCAATAAAAATGAACAAGGAATAAAAGACTCGTCTCTCTTCTTTTATAATTTTTGTACAAATAATTCTTATAATCCCTGTAAAAGGATTTTTTTTGTACGCTTAATTAAAAATAATAATTAATATGCTTGGAAAAAATTTAATTTTTCAAAAAAGAACCAAATTTTTTCCCTGCTTATTTTATATATAACTGTATAAAATATTTTCAAAAAGCAAGTTAAATTTTAATAAACCTGTATATAAGAGTATACAATGTATATACTTTTTTTTTTGTAAATCTGAGAATATGATCCGCGGGCCTTTGAGAAACGTTGCTCGAGATATTTTCCTCTCGCCTCTATTTTCCATATATACGTAACATTTTCCCTAGTTTTTTTCGAGCTTTGGTAATCCCAAAGAGGGATTCGGTCTGTCCGAATAATCCTGCTATGCTGTCGCTAATGAAATTAAAAAAGGGAGTTTTAATGTAAAAAAAAAAAAAAAAAATTGAATGAGGAAGTCAAAGCCGAGGGGATTTGTACTGCGTTGATTAAAACTGCTGCGACGTATGGCTGCATCAATGTATACCTTTCCCGCTCGCAAAAATATATGTTGTAGACCCGCACGATTTCTTTTTTTTTTTTTTTTTTTTTTGATATTCCATAACGAACAAAGGTGCATATTACTCTAAAGAGTTCATCGTATCTAGTTTAGGTCAGTTTTATAAATAATAGAGTTTTCCAAGTCAAGACAAATTTCTAATGTGAGGAACTTAAATTACCTCTGTTTAATTAATTATAATTAATATAATATTATATATTATATTCTACTTTATGGAAGAAAGGTGTATAATGGTTTCTCTGTGTTACGTGTACCAGTGCATGCTAAGTTATAGCCTAACTGTTCAATAAAGAGACTATTATTGCCCTAGGGCAATAATAGTCTCTTTATTGACTATCATTATTACCCTAGGGTAATAATGAGTACTTTATTGACCTGCGAGCTAAGTTCTTCCATACATTTTTTATAACAAACGGCCTAAAAACAAGGTGTAATAAAAAGGCCTAAAATTAAATTTTTTATTTAAAAAAATAATTTAAAAAAACGATTTTAACCCATTGATGTCCAAAATTTTTGACTGATTTTGATAATTTTGATAATTTGATAATCCAAAAATCCAAAATGGCGTCCAAAATGCAAAAAATACCGAAAAATGGCAGCTTTTTTTTAAATGCATATACTTTCCACATCAATAAGTTTTTTTTACGGGTCTCATGCCAAAGCTGGACAAAATAGTCGTACTTTCGAACTATGGACCTGAGAATTAATGAATTCAAAATGGCGGATCCAAAATGGTAGCAAATTCAATACAAACCAATTGATAAGTATATCATCAACAATATTCAAAATTGCTTAAAATCAATTGAAAATGACTTCTCAGGGGTTTTTGGGGTCACTGATTATGAATATATAAAATCCAATTTGAAAAATTCAAAATGGTGGATCTAATATGGCGGACAAAAATATTTGGAAAAATTAATAAAATTGCAAGAAATTATTCACACGGGGGTTTTTGGGATCGCTGATTACGAAAATGAAGTCGAATTTTTAAAATTCAAACTCCCGAATCCAATATGGCGGATAAAAAACTTGAAAATCTATATGAAACTGTGTATGAAATTTCTCACTTGGGGTTTTTGGGGTCATTGCTATTAATATTTTTTAATTATTTTGTTTTTGTTATATATATTACCGGTAAGGAGAGGTTAAAAAAATTAAAATGTTTACAAATATCGCTTAATTCTGAATCATTTAATTCCCAAACTAATATATCAGTTTTAAAGTTCCATGTTTTAATTAATTCTTTATAGTGATAATTCATCTGCACACATTTATATTCTGTTATTTGAATTCCATTTATGACAAAAATATGCGGCTATATAACACTTTAATATATTTGAATAATTAATAAAAAGGTAATAAAATGCATTAAAATGATATCGTATACACTGTAAAAAATTTAGGGAGTTAACGGACTCGGGAGTTGGGAGTGAAATTTTTCGAGTTAAAAATCAACTCCAAAAGAGAGTTAATTTCTAACTCCCTTCATTCAACACCCGCGCGAGTTATTTTTTCCATGGGGAGTTAGCATTTGGGTGTTAAATTTTAACTCTCCTTATTTAACTCCCCTGGCATTAACTCTCCAATGGGTGCGACTTTTATAGAATCCCCTGGGGAGTTAAAATTTAACTCCCTTTTTTTACAGTGTGTAAATATTTTAATCTCTTTTAACAAAATCTCCTCTTACCGGGTTATTAATTTTTTTAACAACTGTTTTGAAATCTTTTCGTCATTATCATTTATCATATTCATATCATTATATCGTTTTTAATAAAAGTTATAAATTCTCGTACCTTTTAAATCCAGAACTAATATTTCAGTCAACATTCACCACGCACTATTTATTGATTTATATTCTTCAGTCCTCATCATATATACTTTACGAAAATAAACTTCATAATATGAAATAAATAAATTACACACTTGTCTTTGTTTATAATAAACATTTCGAATTTGATAATGACATTATCTAGTATATACACCAACATCCTGTAAACAGAAAAAATATTAAAATTAAAAATTTGAATATATAAAAAATGTCAATTGTTTGTATATCAATATTGTTTTTTAATTTTTCAATCAATTTTTTAAAAAATATAATTATATTTACACTCGAACGCCGGTTTAGCAGACTGCCAGGGGGACGTCTGTTAAATCGAACAATACTTTAACAAGCTTTAACGAGTCAGGACAAAGAAAATCGTAAATCACAACCCAAAAATTCCGCTAATGCGGTGTCCGCTAAATTGGCGTTCCAATGTATTTTAATTATGTATATAAATTTTTTTATTCAACTCAGGCGTATTATGGTCACTTTATCTACCTGTACAGGCGGACACTAAGTTTCCCCTTATAAACCAGCGGTCAATAAAGTTCCCATTATTGCCCTAGTGCATTAAAGTATATTTTATTGACCACTCGCAGGTCAATATAGTACCCATTATTACCCAAGGGCAATAAAGTGTACTTTATTGACCGCGCTCACAGGCCAATAAAATACTCATTATTATCCTAGGGCAATAATAAACACTTTAGCATAGAGTGACCATAATACGCCTCTGTTGCATAATGTACTATTTAATAATTATGAAATTTAGTGTATGGAAAAACTAGTTAATTTAATAGGATATTAAAGTATTTCTTATTATTGTAGGTGTATATTGACATTATTTAAAAAAGCACTTAGGGTAAGAATAGCATGTACTAAACTAGGAGAAGCGGCACCCCACCAAGCGCTTCGTAGTGGTGGGGGAATAATTCGCATAGTGGGGGGTCGCTTCTCCTACTGGCCTAGAAATAAATAGTGACAGAGTATTCTTTAACTACTTATTTTTAAAAATCTCATTATTGTTGTGGTTAATTTTTTAAACATTATCTTATCAATATTAATCAAGATTAATAAATAGTACAAACATTAAATAACTACTATTAATTAAAAACAAAAAATTAATAAACTAAAATAAAAAATAAATTGATAAACCCCAGAAAAAATTGCAAAACATTTAAAATTTGATGGATACTTTAAAAAAAATATTTATCTAATTAAAAAATTTGAATTTTAAAATAAACACGAATGAAAAGAAAGGAATCGATGAAATTAGAAGGAAATACAGAGATAAAACAGAAGACAGTAGTGAACGAAAAAGTTGTTGGTGAATGGTTTCTGTGTATATATATTGTATAAAGAAGTAAAGCATCAGGAGGATCTTATTGATATTCCTCGGGCTCGCGGCACCTTCGTCGTGGAAAAACCAAGGAAAATAATTTCCTCTCTGTTGGTCCGCTCTCTTCTCACGATGGTGTGGTCGCCGCGCATTTAAACCCCTTGCCAGTACTCCACCACCACCACCCACCCTCCCTATATTTCAAAGCCCGCTTGTAGCCAGAAAAGCAAGCAGAAAACGTAGACAGACAGCTGAAACCCGGCTGGGTGTGCCAGGGCGCGCGTTAAAACATGCAAAATCATGCAAATTGCGTTCGTTCGAGCCCTCCCCCACCCACTTTTCAGCCTTTCCCAGAATCATTCCATCTCGCTCTCCTTCTCTCTCCCGCACGCTCTCTTCCTTCTCTCTTTCTCTATCATCATATACGGCGCTTTTTATCCCTTGTGTGTATAGCCTCACTCTTTTCTCTTACTCTTTTTCTCTCTTTCACTCTTTTTCTCTCCTTCTCTCTTTCACTCTTTTGCTCCTCTTTCCTCTTTCGTGGAGCCTGCGGCGTCAAAAATGTTTCAACGATTGTGTTGCCGCGGCGTTTGTTCCTTTATTTTTAGTACGGGGTGGAATTTACCGAGAGGGTGCCGCTGGGCGGAGCTCCCGACAGAAATAGGGATGAAACTTTGCCCGCCATATTTACATGACTCTCTCTCTCGCGAGCAATGAAAAAAAAATAAAAAAAAAATCCCGAGAGCAACACGATTTTTTTCTTCTTTAAAAAAAAAAATCTCTCCCTCCCCCCCTCGCAACTTTTATTTTTTTCTCCTAAAATCAAAAATCTTTAACCAAACTAATCCAACATTAAATCCTCAAACATTGAAAATAAATCCCATTTTTAAAAATCTTATTTTTACTATAGGTACACTTTATAACGTTCTTTTTAAAAATATAAATTTTTTAAAGAAAATCTTTCTTGTATACATATACTTTTTGCTTATTCAACATTTCATTCGTTTCTACATTTAAAAAAAAAAAAGCTTTTCAGAAGAAAAGGAGGGAAAACAAATCCAAAAACCATAGGAACTACTAAAATTGTTGTTTTTAGATTTTACCGAAAAGATTTTTTCAGTCCCGAATAATACTAATGGTGCGAAAAGTAGAGTATATAACTGTAGTGGAGCGAGGGTGGGGGGCTGGAAAAATTTACAAAGTTTAACAATGTAGAAAGTCACCAGGTCGAGATTAAAGTCTAAACTCAATATAATCGAGGAAGAAAGTAGTCGTTTTCTTGTGTGTATTGAAGTTTTAAGAGCGAAAGCTTTCGCAGTAGGACATCACTATATATATAGTGACGGTTATAGACACCGTCATCTCCTTCAGCGTAAACGAAATTAGCAGAAAGTGTCTCGAGATTGTCAATAAGAAAGACGTAAATCTGGTGGAAGCACCTGCCATTTAGAGGAGAGAAGAAAAAAGTATATAGAAGACAAGATGTTTGTAATGCCAGGGAATACCCGAAGATCACGTGGTGGTACCTGTCGTAAGGTTTATATGGGAACACAAAATAACCTCTAAGTTCTTAGGACTTCACTTTCATCCACCCTTGAAGCTTATAATATAGATTATCGCTTCTTCTCTCGAACAATAAATCGTCCAACACAACCTAAAGAGCCAACCTGCTAAATAAACAATTTTAACCTTGCCCCGGAACTTTTCACTAATTTCATCCTCAAAAACCGTTTTCTCTATTACTTTTATGCTCCATTTCTCAATTTCAAAACATTTTTTCAGAGTCCTTTCTCTCCATTGTGTCGCGAAATTTTTATTTTCGTATTTTAGAACGAATTTTCTTTTTGTAAAAACAAATATTTTCTCCGAGAATAACAACAAATAAAAAAACAATAAAAAAATTGTAAATATTAATAATATTAAAAGCGACAAAATTTATAATTCTAATAATTAAAAGTGCTCGAGTAATAAAATCATTATTTTATATTACAATAAGAATATTGTTACTGTGACTTCTTTAAAATTCTTCTCTTTTGCCTGTTAATTTCTAAATAAAATAAAATTATTTTCATCAATTCAATTATTATTTTCTACAATTTTTAAATAACATTCTTCCTTAAATCAATTATTTTTAATAATTTTTTATAAAGTTCTTTTGAGAATGTTCAAATTCGTTTGTTTATAATTCAATTATTATTTCTAAAAATTGTTATTATTAGTAACATCTCCAAAATTTAATTATTATCAAAAACTTTAACTGAAATTAATTTTTAAATCAATTTTTATTAGAAAATTCTACAAGAATTCAATTATTTACTATCTTAATTTGAATCAGTTAAAAATCGTGGTTTTAACTGACAATTAGTGGCTGACTTTTTGCTTCTAAATCAGTTATTTTTAACTGATTCAAATTTGGATAGTAAATACGTTATTCTATTTGAATAATTGAATATTTCTTAAAATTTAATTCTGATACATAATTTTATCAACAAAGTTTTAAATAATTGAATTCTTTTCACGAATTTCAATAACATTTTTAAGAATAATAACATTTCTCGAGGAATTCGATTAAAAATTTATTAAAAATAATTGAAATTCTGCAATGAGTTTTGTTATTTATGAAAATAATAAAATTATTGAGGAGAAGTTTATAAAAAAGTTTGAATTCCTATGAAATTTTTATTATTTTAGAAAATAATTAAATATTCGTGTAGAACTTTGTCAAAATTGTTTTTAAATAATTGGATTCTTTTAGGAAATTTTATTAAAATTTTTGTAAATAATTGAATTTTACTCAATTTTACTACTTTTGAAAATAATTGAATTCTTATAACTATGAAAATAATTGACTTCCTCCGAATGATTTTTTTATTTTTAAAAATAATAATTAAATCCCTAAAAAGAATTTTTTTAATTTATGAAAATTATTGAATTACTGTGAAAAATTAAATTGAATTAAATTCTTTTGGAAAATTTTATCAAAATAGTAGAATATTAAAAATCATAGAATTAAGAAAAATTTTTGATAATAATTGAATTTTGGCGAAGAATTTTGCTATTTATAAAGATATATATAAAATGTTGACAAGAATTTTTTTTTAATTTTTGAAAACAATTGAATTTCTGGAAAGAATTTTAATTTTTTTTAAAATAGTTGAATTCTTTTAAAGAATTGCGTTAAAATTTTTTAAATTGAAATTATGAGGCAAACAAGAAGATACAGAAAAATTCAGAATTTTTTTATAAATTCTAAGCATTTAATTCTTTTTTGTACTTTTAATAAAAATCCCTGACTATTCCCTGACCTGTGGCATCCCTGAATTCTTTTTCAACTTTTCAGTAAAATAAATGTTCTTGTCCTATATTTTAGAGAAAAAATGAGAAAGAACGATTTTTTTCTGTAAAAACAAATAGTTTTAAAGAAATAAAAAAAAATAACCGAAAATTATGAATATTAACAAATTGAAATCTACATTTATATAATTTAAAACTTTTAACAATTAGAAAAATGTATATTTCATGCGCGAAAAAGATAGTGTAAATATTGTTTTAAATGTCAAATTTATTTCATTTTCAACACAATGTTTCTACTTTATTGTTATTATTTACATAAATAACTTATTTTTAAAGGAAACGTTTCGACTTTCGCCCTGCAAATTTTCCTACTATTTTTTTTTAATTTTTAAGTTAAATTTAAAAATTGTCTACTTTTCAAACTGCAGTTTTTCACCTATATATATATATATATATATATATATATATATATATATATATATATATATATATATATATATATATATATATATATATCCATATCTATATGCC